GGGAGTGGCCACTGCACTCCAGTCTGGGTGACAGAGTGAGACTCCAACTCAAAAAAAAAAAAAAAAAGATAATACAAAAGAAAAGTTCCACACAGTAAAGTTCTTAAAACACAGACACTAAATTCCAATAGCTAAAGCTTTTGGAATTTTGTAGACCTAAATTATTGTTGCCTTAGTCTCAAATATTTGTTAGGATAAAAGAATGACAATATTATCAGTTTATAAGTGATCAGACAACTTAAGCAATTTTGGATATTGTCTGAGAACTTTTCAAAATAATGTGACTTTGGATGAAATTCTAATGCAACTTAAACAAAAATATCTCTTACCTCTAATATTTGCCGTCCATATGTTTTTATTTGCTGGAGTTCAAGGCCCTGAATCTTCTTAGGGTTGCAGTACTTCTTTAGAAATGGATCTTTTGGTTTTGCCTTTGGAACAGAACACATAAGAACACATAAGAAAGCAACAGAGGGGTCAATATTTGCATTCAGACTCCCTAAACAGGTAGAGGTTTGGGGCACTAGAGATGGTCAGCCTGTAGGATGTGGGTTTTTAAATACAAGTCTGTGTAGCTGATAGAGGCTGACTTGGGTTCTGTTCCTTCTCTACCTCAGTGAAGATGTGTCTGGTCTTGGCCTTAGCAGACCCCAAAGTCTTATATACTGTTTGAATTCTTCAGTACTGCTTTATTATATGCAAGACATAAACTTTAAAACTGACCTAAGAGAATAGATTATAATATTATGGACATAGTCATTAAATGTCTACCTTCCCTTATATGGGAAAAGGAATGCTCTCTAGCCAAACTAGGTAGAATTGCTATTGCTGGAATAAAAATAAATTTCAAATAGGATTTTACCTCAGGACCTATGCTCTGGGGCCTTAGGGATTAAGTATCAGTGACAGGAGGACTTGCTTATGACCATGAACTTGCACCACAAGTACCTTGTAGATCAGATCCTTCAAAGTTCCTTTTTCATTGAACATCCTAATTAGTAATGCTGAGGATTCATTAGCTGTGGCAAAGGTAACCCGATATATGTAAGGGTGCTGCCAAAACAAAAAAGAAATTCACATTGATTTGCATCAGGATCTAGGTCCTTTTAGATTCAGGATCTGCTTATGCAGAGTCAAGGACCATCTTGTTAGTTCAGTTTACAAATGTGGTGATATTCCCTAAACACACAGCATTTTCAAGTTATTAGATAATCAGCTAGCTCCTCTTTCTTCAGATGCGGGAAGGGACATAAACTGTAGTGATAAAGAGAAGTGGATAATTGATGTGGTAAGCTCTGCAAGTGAAGGTGTCTGTTTTGGTGTGTGCATTCTCATAGTTGAGTAAAAGTGTGGTGGAAGAGAGAAAAGTTCAAGTTTTCAGCATAATGGTTTTAATATTCTGCTTCTTTAAAATGGTAGAGAATACATCCAAGTCTCAGAACAGCCAAGTGGGGACTAGAATAAACATGTCTCTGCTCACAGCTTTGCCTAACATTCCACGCTGCAGTTTGGGTGCCAAGCCAGGGAGCATGACAGCCAGAAAACTAGCAAAAGTAGCATCTTCTGGCATCTCAGTCTTTTTCCAAAGCAGCTGGCGTGAATCTTCCTGCCCTTCTACAGAAGTTTGCAATATGATGATCCACAATATCCTCCTCAGATGGGAACACTAACATCAACCAAGTGGAGTGAGGAAAAGACGCATTATTTAATGGCTGAAAGGAAAGTGCTTATATGACCTGGAATTTTGGTTACATGAAACAAATTGACTCCAGATATTACAATTGCCTTTTAACTCAAAGGAGCACTATGAACGTTTAAGCCCATGCTATGCAAGGATTTTGGAGGCTGGTGTGGAATGAGTTGCGGGGTAGAGAGGTGTATCCAGGAAAATATAGTAATTGATCATAAAGTTTCTCCTAATCATCATATCAGAATGTTTGCTACTGATTTTTTAACAGCTTTATTGAGATACAATTCACATAAAATTACTATTCACCCATTTAAAGTGTACAATTCAATGGTTTCAGAATATTCACAGAGTTATGCAACCATCACACTATCTAGTAATATAACATTTTCACCATCCCAGAAAGAAACTCAATATGTAAGATAAAATCCTTCAGTCCATACAGATGTAAATTTAAAATGCAGGGAGAAGAGAAGCTCTTCTTTAGGGTAGAATGACAACTAATAGATAAAGAAGGAATAAAAGGGTTAGAAAATCACACTGAATCCTAAAACTAGTGGGCTTGATAAAGACCAGAGTATTTATGTAGTCTCAAAATATTTCTATTGCTTATTCATTAATTCTAGGTATTTATTTTAAGAAAATAATTAAGGATGGATATAAATGTTTAGTTAAAATTTTTCACTATGGTTTTTCTTCTTTTTTTAATAAGAGCAAAAAGCTGGCAGTCATCTAAATGTCTAGCAGAAAACTGGCTGAGTAAACCAAGGTACAGTCAATAATTCTATGCAGCCAGCAATAATGATGCTATATTAATGTATATATTTTCTTAATCATAAAAATTCTAGAAAAGTAACAACTAAACATTTTGGTTCATACTTCTGGTTGGTTGGGATTACGGGTCAGTTTTATTTTCTTATTTTTACTTGTCTGTGTCTCCTGACATTTTTACAATTAGTAGGCATCATTTGTATACACTATTTTTCTAAAAAGCATATCCATAAAAAGAAATTTAGAACTGGAAGCTAACAGCCTGTGTAATACAACCAAGCAAACTCAAAGACAACAGAATTTTTCTTAGCCTATACTGTACTTCATTAAAAGCTTGATTCTGCTAGCTTGACAAGGCACTATATTGCCAAATACTAACTTGCCAATCCAACTTTAATCTGTCAACCCAAGTGGATATGTCAGCATAACTATGCTCAGTCCATGATTGATTCATTCTAGAGACCTATATTCTCATACAGACAAGATAAAGAATAGCAACACTAACTCAATTTCCTGGTCAGGTTAATCTTTCTTTGCTGAAGAATATTCTGCACATATTTTGAAATATACCAGTGTGGTTCCTTCCTAATCCAGGACTCTGGATCACAGTTGTTCATTAGAGTAAATCATGTCATGTACTCTTATTGGTCAACAAATTAGCCTGTGGGAGTAGTAACTCTAACAGCAAAATGGCTGTTTTGCCTTTCCTTCCTTTAGTTTATCTAAATCCTTATTAATTCTGCTTTCCCAGGCTAGAAACAGTTCTTTTAATTCCACTAATATAAACACTCTCACCAAGAATAACAGGCTCGGAGAAGTGGCTGCTTTCCTGCTTAAGATTCAAAGGCTAGCTGGGCTCAGTGGCTCAGGCTGCAATTCCGCGCTTTAGGAGGCTGAGGTAAGTGGATTGCCTGAGCCCGCGGGTTCGAGACCCACCTGGGCAGCGAGACCTCATCTCTACAATAAATCAAAAAATCAGCCGGGTGTGGTAGCGCACGCCTGTAGTTCCAGCTACTTGGAAGGATCGCCGGAGCCCAGCAGGTCGAGGCTGTGGTGGCCGGAAACATGCCACTGCACTGCAGTCTGGGCAACAGAGTGAGACATCAACTCAAAAAAAAAAAAAAAATACAAAGGCTATATTTAAATCACTATATTTCATGAATTGTGCAGATGTCATAAATGCCATTTAAACGGTCTATGATCTATGGGAGTAGCCCTGCACAATTTCAATCTGAACTGAAATCCACTATACCTCTCCATTCTCTTGTGCCTACAGAGCTTTTTTGTCCACGTTTACCCACAACAAACATTGTGAATCTGCCATCGGCACTGAGAATAACAGGACCTGTACTCACCAAACAGGAAGGCAGAAGTTTGATTAGACATTGAAAATCTTTGTCTGACAAGTACTTGTCCGGGCCAAGGTCAGCCTGAAAACATGGGAGGAAATATCAAGGTTCTGCTTTGGTCATCAAAAGAAATATTCCTTATAAATCTTTCCCTTTAATTGTGTTTGTCCAAATATATGAATGCAAATCAAAGATGAAAACCACACTAAGTCTTGCTGCCTCAAGACCTTTCTGGAGAAGCAATGTATAAAAATACCAGAATTGCCAGGCTCGGTGGCTCAGCCTGTAATCCCGTACCTTTGGGAGGCTGAGGTGAGTGGACTGCCTGAGCCCGAGGGTTCAAGACCCACCTGGGCAGGCGAGACGTCATCTCTACCATAAATCAAAAAATTAGCCGGGCATGGTAGCACATGCCTGTAATTCTGGCTACTCGGAAGGCTGAGGCGGAAGGATCGCTGATGCCCAGCAGGTCGAGGCTGCAGTGGCCAGGAGCGGCCACTGCACTCCAGTCTGGGTGACAGAGTGAGGCTCCAACTCAAAAAAAAAAAACAAAACAAAAAACCAGAATTTATCTGTAATCTTATCTAATTCCATTAATCAAATGTATCACTAAAATTTACAAAGTGAGAGAGATAAAGTAATGCCTAAGTAATGTTTTTTTGGAGGTAAATTCCAAAACTGTCAGCCCTAAAAAGATTCCAGAGAACTATTTTAAGCTATTCTTATTGCTTTCCATATGTTTACAAGTTGATCAAATATAATTATATTTATATAACCAAATGCATAACAAAGTGATAAAACAACTCTCCTTTGATGTGGAACCAAGGAAGCCTTTATATCATTACTTAAGAGCACAATACAACTTTGTAATGCCCTTGTCAAATCTGCTTTCATTAACCCATCTGACGTCCCTGAAATGAGACTAAAACAAAAAAACTAGCTTACCCAGCTTAACACTAGCCGTTCCTTTGGCTGATTTTTAATCTTCATCAAGAAATACTTCTTCCTTATCCTCCAACCTGCCATAAAAGCAGAAATGTATTTAGAGTTGCATAATTTTTACAACAATTAATGTTTCATTGACTAAGTAATTAATAAAAATTAAGTTTGGCAATATTATCTTTTCTGTTTTTGTTGTTTTTTTTTTTTGAGTTGGAGTCTCACTCTGTCGCCCAGACTGCAGTGCAGTGGCACGCTCCCAGCCACCACAGCCTCGACCTGCTGTGCACTGGCAATCCTTCCACCTCAGCCTTCCAAGTAGCTGGAACTACAGGCGTGCGCTACCACACCCAGCTAATTTTTTTATTTACTGTAGAGATGAGGTCTCGCCAAGTTGCCCAGGCAGGTCTTGAACCCGCGGGGGTTCAGGCAATCCACTCACCTCAGGATCCCAAAGCGCGGGATTACAGGCTGAGTCACTGACCCAACTGGCAATATTATCTACACCTATGTAGGTACCAGTAAAAGAACTATGGCACAGTGTAAGTTACAGTTAAAAAACAGCAAGGAAATTACTCTATTCATGGATATAGAAAAATAGCACTTCAGTTTAGATTCAGTGAAAAGATAGAAGAAGAATAAATGGTGACTGCGAAAGTTATTACCATCCAAATCCTTTGATGGGACTTCAACCAAGATTCACTAAGTACTAAAAGTTAAGAACTGTATCAGCAAGCAGTAGGGAGGTAAAATAAAATGAGTCACCTGCATGTAAGAACGTTCTTGGACTACATATGAGAAAGCATGACTAAGAATCCAGTCCTATGACCTGTCTTTTAAACAGAATGAGCATGCCAATTTCTCACCTATGTCTTTCAATGGTTCTACCACCTCCCACTTTGGTTCTGATCGGAAGAACATGGAAACCTGCTGTAAGGCAATCTCTGCAAAGACATTTAGAAACTCATGAGTCAAACATATCAGAAAAGAGTCATACACTTAAGATACTAGTCTTGTAAATAATATCATTATACTCTATAACATTCTTAAAAGCTTAATTACCAAAAATAAGTAAGTAAATAAACACAGACGAAATGCAATGTGGGATTCTAGATTGGATCCTGAAACAGAAAAAGCACATTAGTGGAAAAATTGGTAAAATCTGAATAAAGCCCACAGTTAATAGTAACATACTAATATTAATTTCTTAGTTTTGAGAAATGTGCCATGGTTATATGTTAACATCAGGAGAAATTCAAAAAACAAAAAAAACTATTAATGATGTGAAAATATAAATTTTTCAAAACTGTAAAATCTAAAATAACTAGCTGATCTAAGCTAAGAATTCAATATATGCACCAGACCACAACCCAAACCCACAACTCAAAACATGTCCTAAGGACATCTTGAAACAGCATTTAGTGTTGCTCCAAGTGATATTTATCCCAGCTTCATTACTCATGGAATTATGGTTTTCACCAACAAAGAAGTGATTAGTCTTAAATAAACATGGAAATAAAAGCCAGTGGACAGCAGCAACACAATTTTATTGCCGGAAGTCACCGAATGCCTGTTTACTGGAAAAAAAAATCCTTCTTTCTGCATTCATTTATCATAAAAACGTTTCCCCCTTTAAGAAAACAACGAGAAGAGGAAGTTCTTTAAAGTTAACTATATTAAGAATTATCAGAATAACTGTACTTTTACATTTCCTGCAAAAAGCAGCATCTGTAATTTGCCATTTCCCCTCAACGCAGCAAGTAAATGAAGCCACTCTAGATCTTTGAAAACCAGCAGCCATCTTCCAAATGTTGTGGAATTTCACTTCTGCCTAGCATTAATTACATTCCAGGCAGACTGGTAAGGCATGAGGGATTCGGCAGAAACGCTCTCCATATGTGAAAATGACCTAATTTGGAATCACCACACCAAGAACTTGGCAAACAATATTATTTTGACCTATTTTTTTATTGTACATTTTGAGTTAAGAAAGTCAGGGAAGAAAACAGCTATTTGTTTACTGACTCAATATGGAATCTACTCAGAAGAAAACATGTAATGACCAAATACAAAACTGGCTTGATTCACATTTATTCTAACTACCCTAACACGTGACAACCCATTTGGAGGAACTTGGTGTAGCAGAAACATAAATTTTCATTATCAACACTAGGAACTCTGTATCTCCTCAATAACTAATGTAAATATAAAAAGTTTCAGGATTTTCAAAATGACTGGAACATAAGCTTAAAAATAAATTATTTTAAGCTAAAATCATTCACATCAGGCCAGGCTCAGTGGCTGTAATCCCAGCACTTTGGGAGGCCAAGGTGAGTGGATTGCCTGAGTCCGCAGGTTGGAGACCAGCCTGGGCAATTTGGCGAGACCTCATCTCTACAATAAATATAAAAAAGTAGCCGGGCATGGTAGCACACGCCTGTAGTTCAAGCTACTTGAGGTGGAAGGATCACTGAAGCCCAGCAGGTCAACGCTGGGGTGGCCGTGAGTGTGCCACTGCACTCCAGCATGGGCGACAAAGTGAGACTCCAACTAAAAAAAAAAAATCATTCACATCAACTTTGAAAAGGATCGTGAAAAACAATTTTCTAATGTGGTATAACGTCATTCTGAGAGGCTGAGGACAGTTGTTCAAAACTAACAGTGACTTGTAATCCTCACAACATCAATTATTTGACCACATTCCTTGTATGCTACCATGTGCTATACATTGCTTTAGGAATGGGGGAAATAGCTGTGAACAAATGGAACATGCTAGATTCATTACTAATAAATTGAGAACTGGGAAGTAGCTTTTTTTACCCCAGGGGTCAGGGAAATGGAGAAAGGACAGTTTCTTTCCACTGAACTATGATTTATTTTCAAATAAACCGCATGATATCATGCTCCCAATATTAAACCCCTCCCTCCCAAGACTCAGGGAACACATTTCAATCTTAAACGTCTGCTCCTCTTCTTGGAAGCCTTTACTGGCTCCCTACTTCCTTAGCAAACCAAGACCAAGCTTCTAAACCTAGTGTTCAATCCACCTCTAGTTTTAACCTTTCTGGCTTTATCTCCCACAGCGTGTAGTGCCTCTCTGAACTCTAAGATTTGCCTACCATGGTCCCTAAAAACTGGCCTGTTACTATTCCCTCAGCATTTTCCTTCTGGCCCATCTAGTCTTCAAGGTTCAGCCCAAGCTTGCTGCTCCCTTAGCCAGTACTCCCTCCTTGCCCCTCTTCTGAACACTCCCAGTGCTGTATCTGCCCCTTTCTTACGCAAGTACCCACTGTATGACCTGTAGTAGGACTACTCTCTTCTACTATACTATAAATGTTGGCTAGAAGGCTACATCTTAACACAGGTAAAGCCCAGAGCCCTAAGGAAATACTTCTCATGCTGTGCTGCCTGGAGCGCTGACCCCTCAGCCTAGCTAACTTCCACTCATCCCTCAGATCTCTGTGTAGGCATCACTTCTTCTGGGAAGCCTTCTTCCATCTTTAGGTCTGGGTCCCCCACCCCACCCCACCCATAAGGTGCAGCCTAATGTTTACCCTGGCACAGCCTACACCTGTCAATCTTCCTGCATAAGTGCCTTGGGACAGGGGGTGAGGAAACTACACTTCCTTTTTGCTGTATACGTAGCACCTGGCACATAGTAGGTAAATCTTTGATGAAGCAAGAACTAAGGGTTCGACATATGTTCAATGGATGTGGAACCGCTCTCCCATTTTAACTGAAATCCATGAAAAGCAAGGCATCTGCCCTTGATTTAACACTGAATGACACACGCAGAAAAATTACAAGCTCAGAAAGTGCTGATAAACCAGCTGGAGACAGGAAATGCCATGCAAAACCTTCAAGTTCATCCTGTGCTTCTCAAAGAGCTCAGATGTGCCAAGTGTCCCCACTGTGTACAGTCTCTGAACTCCTTGATCCCAATCCCATGGGGTGACTACAGAGAACACACACTGACTCCTCCAGGCCTGAAACTGGGTCCAGATCTCCAGCCTATGACAGCAGGCCTGCAACCTCTTCCACACATCCTGTTCTTGTTCTGAATATCATCCTCCACTCCCTTTTTATCCTGGAGACCCTCACTATCTTTCCTATTCAAAGGATTCCTGGTGTTTTCGGACTAGAAGGGAACTTCAACACTAACACTCCCGGGTCCGTTCCCCCTAATGAACCTCTTGTTTTACAGGTAAGGACTCTGAGGCCCACAGAGGGGAAATGCTGCTAATGACAATGCTGAGACCAGGATCCAAGACCCCTGATTTCTGGTCCAAATGACTTCTGCATGAACATTAAAACCCCATTACACTGAGGGGCATGAGGCTTGAGGGGGGAAGATGGCCACAGTGCCATCATTTAAAACTAAGGCTTTTAAATGATAGAGGTGCCACCGGGCAAGGTGGCTCAAGCCTGTAATCCCAGCACTTCAGGAGGCCAAGGCAAGAGGATTGCTTAAGCCCAGGGGTTCAAGACCAGCCTGGGCAACTTGGCGAGATCTCATCTCTACAATAAGCAAAAAAAAGCAGCTGGGCATGGTGGCATATGTCTGTAGTTCCAGCTACTTGGAAGGCTGAAGTGGAATGACTGCCTGAGTCCAGCAGGTTGAGTCTGTGGTGGCCGTGAGCATGCCACTGCACTCTAGCCTGGGTGACAGGGTGAGACTCCGACTCAAATAAAATAAAATAAAATAAAAATAAATGATAGTGGTGCCTTGTTAATAAGATGAATAAAGTTTGTGTATATGCACGTGAGAGAAACAGGACAGAGAGAGACTCAACATAAATGCCTCATGACCAGGAGGCACCTATTTTCCTTGTATAATTGCTGGCCTTCAAATAGACTGGCTAATTCAAATAAACACCTCACAACTTCCCCACAGACAAAGGACCTACATTTCCCTTCCGTGGATTTGCTCACTTGGAGAAAACCGGGAAAAGAAAGGCAGGACCAGCAATGCTGGGCTGGGAACCCAGGGAAGAGAGAAGGCAGCTGCTGAAGTCTTCAGAGTTCCTGGTTACCCATCCCCTGGGGACCAAGACAGCACCACAGTCCACCGCAAACAAGGCACCCTCAACCTCAGTCAAAGTGATAAGCATGAAAAGCAGCTCTGTTGATTTTGGATCCCACTTGAACATAGAGCTCAAATCCTGCTGAAGTGAAGCTGGGTGGTAACTGCAGACCGTTTGGAAAATGAAAAGAGGTGGAGACATTATCATCACTAAATGGGGAAAATGGCCCTGCTTAGAGAAACACCACAAGTTGGGAGATATGCCAAGTACCCTCAGGGAACCATGAGCATGCTATGAACTTCAGGAATGGTTCTGTCTAGCTGGCATAGGGGTGCAGCCCATGCTTCCGTTTCCTGAGGTGGCTGTTGAGTTAGTCTGGAGGCAAGACAAACTCTGACATTTCATTCAAAGGGGGAAGTAAATCAGCATCTCTCTGAAAACAACACCTATCACCTATTGTTTCATTTCAGGTGTGTGCCCTCTAAATAGTGGTTGGCTTGGCAGGAGTTTCTGGTGGTCTTTCATAGTCCTGCTCACATGTGCTTTGGACTGATCATCTGCATGCTGGGAGGTAGTGGGGGGGGAACCAAGGACACTAGCAGCATGTGAGGGGGGGCTACTACAAAAGGAAATACAGACATCTGACAACCTTCCAGGTGCCATGTAGCATTCTCACTCGAAAATCTTAAGACTAGAGTCACACAAAAGAGCAACCCTAGGTAAGACCTCTAGGGAGGCCGTAGCTTAACTTGTCTATAAAAAGAGACATCTTGATACATCTGCTCTAAGATCCCTTCTAGCTCTGGCCCTCTAAATAGTGGCCGACTTGGCAGGAGTTTCTGGTGGTCAGCAGAAACTACCAATACAAGCTCCCTGAGAGCAGAGGGCAGATTTGCCTAGTGCCTGTGTCCCCAACACCGAGCCCTGCATGTGTTGATGTCTGCTGAATCAACAGCATCATTACATGTGCAGTACACCTTGATGCCTGCCCCCAGAGCACTAGCAGGCACTCTTAGGAAAAATGATGGAGACAAACCACTGAGCAGGGCTGGGTTAGGCACATTTGATAAGTCAGTCCAGATGGCCTGCTGTCTGACAATTTTGGGAACAATCGAGAGGAAGCATGAAGAAATGAAAGCCATAAAAGACACTACTCTGACAGAATTCTAGCTGTCCCAAGAGCCCCAGCCCTATCTGTGTTGTCTTTTATGGGAGCCAAAAAGCAAAAGGGGGAAGAATGGAATCCTTGTAACAACCCAATGTTCCACTTTGTAAATGTGAGTTTGATATACACTTTCCTTCTCTTGGCTGCATTCTGGAAAGGCATTTTCCTTATCCCTACACAGCACTTCTGTTAGAAAATGGCAGGTAAATTCTACAGCAAGATTTCTCACACTTTAGTGAACATGCAAATCACCTGGGGACCCTGTTATACTCAGATCTTGATTCAGTAAATCTGAGATGGAGATTGAATTCTGCATTTTTGACGAGCTCCCAGTGATGCCAATGCTAATGGTCTGAGAACCACATCGTGAGTAGCAGGCCTCAAGGGTTATGGTTTTCAAATGTGGTTGTGTATGGGACGACTCACTTGGGAAGCTTTACAAATTACCCACAGAGATTCTGATTTAATTAGCATGCATATAGCCTGGACATCAGGATTTTTTTTAAAGCTCCCCAGGTGATTCTACTATGCAGTAAAGTTTGGTGCTTGACAAGTAGGCCCCTATTTCTCACTCCCTGAAGCAGGAATATATAAGTGTTTTAAAAGCAATTATCTGATAAAAATCTATTCTCCTAGCAAGGAAATTAACAATACCCAGAGTTCCACTTAGGAAGCTTCTAAAGCATGAATTGGTTTTAACAGTAGAATCCTGATCAGTTCTACAACAGTTTCTATTGGTCTCTTCAAAGTCACACCAAAGTATATTAAATATTTAGTTCCTCATTCTGCTGACATCAGGCTTAGTTATTGATGCCAACTTTGTGTGTAATCGGTACTGGAAGAGAAGCCTTTTCCACCCCAGTCCCTCAGCAGCTGCCCCAATTCAGGAAAGATATGGAAGAGAACTACCTCTTTGTCCTTTGCACTGAGTGGGTTTCAGGGAGAAAACAGGAAGACACAGAAAGGATGCTTCTGAGTCACTGTTGTGTTTAAATTCCCAGGAAAACCAAATACACTATATATTGGGAATGCAAAAACAGAGCCAAATACAAATCCGATTGAGATTACTGTAAACATTATTGTGATTGTTTACTCTCTGTTCTGTCAGGGAAGATAATAAAGACAAGACTAAACGTACACAGACACAATAATTTCTTTTCCATATTTTTCTATGCAGATTACAAACATTTTGGAAGTAAATTATTTTCTTCTTACACATCTAAAATAAACTATAATCAAATAAGTCTTGGTAAATGAAAAATACCATATACCAAATATGTACATGTCCCCATTTGAAAGTAGCATTCCCTCCACATATGTTATCTCCAGCAAAGGACAATGCCTCTCTAGCCATGTGACCATGGCTCACAGATCCCTCTGCTTACCAGTGTAGTTTGCAGAATAGTTGTTTGGATCTAAAAACTTCTTAACCAGCTCACAATTAGACAAGATATGATTTGTGGTGATAACATTGAGATAGTTCTGAAGACCTTTCTGCCTCTCAGCTATGAATTCACGATCCATGTTACCAATCAATTTTTTGGGAGGAAGAGGTAGACTAAGGCCTGCAATCTTTAAAAAAGAAAAAAAGGTATTATACTTATGAAATCCACAAATAACAATATCAAAATCCTGAACCATCACATTTCACTAAATCTGAAACAACATAGATGTTATCTAAAACAACATAGATGCATCCTAATTTCAGTGATATTATAAAAATGTGAAAACTAGAATTGACATGTCAAGCATAATCACTCCAAAACTTTATTTTTTAAAAATGTATTTGTATTTTTATTTGTTATACATGAACATAATTTCAAGAGTCAATTATTTGTTAACTATTTTTAATTATTATTGGTGATCCCATGACACTCCCTCGCATCCCTGCCACCAGGTGACATATTCATTCCCTACTCCCCTAGGACAGCCACACTCCATTCTTTCAGCTGATCTTTTGCCACTGGGGAACACTCATACTGTTGTGCCTTGCTTTTTCATTTTTAGGCATTATCTGCAAATTTCCTATTATGGAAGCTGAGGATTAAGTTTTCTTTCACAACCCTAACCTTATCCCACACACACACTGTCCCTAATCCTCCCCATGTCATTGTAATTTTATTTGATGCAATATTCATGTCTACATTAGGTAAATAATACTCACAACTGAGCTAAAGAGCCATGCATACCTTTCCTTTATAGCAACTTCTAGTCTTTGCTTTATTTTTCTATTCAGTTCCAAATTCTCCATCCAAGTCTTCTCTCAACATGTTCAGATACACAGTCTTGAAGTACCTTCCAGAACCCACTGGTCTGCTCCAAGCAGGGGTGGTGGTCCCTATACTGCTGCAAAACTGGCATCCTGGGACCTCCCTTCATCCTTTTCCTAGAGAGGCTGTTGCCCTTGTCCTACTGAACCCTGTTTTATATGCCATGCCTTCCTTTTTCTTACATAATTCCCTTGTTTTGGGTACAGTGTACCCTCTGTTAGCTTTAAAAAGGAAAGCAAGATAGAGAAATTTTCTGAAGCTTTGCATGTATCATTATGTCTTTATTCTCTCCTTACACTTGATTTATAGCTAGTCTTGATGTGGAATTCTAAGCTGAAAATTTTTCTTCAGAATTTTTTTTTTTGAGTTGGAGTCTCACTCTGTCACCCAGACTGAAGTGCAGTGGCCACTCCCAGCCGCTGCAGTCTCGACCTGCTGGGCTCCGGCGATCCTCCTGCCTCAGCCTTCCAAGTAGCTGGAACTACTGGCGCGCGCTACCACGCCCGGCTAGTTTTTGACTTATTGTAGAGATGAGGTCTCACCAAGTTGCCCAGGCGGGTCTCGAACCCGCAGGCTCAGGCAATCCACTCACCTCAGCCTCCCAAAGCGCTGGGATTACAGGCTGAGTCACCAAGCCCGGCCAGAATTTTTAATAAATATTTTATCTTCTAGTTTGCAGAACTCCTGTTAAAGGTTCAAGCATACTGAATTCTTGATTCTAGGGGTTTTTTTGTTATTTTTTCCCCTCTCCCTGAAAACATTTAGGATCTTCTCTTAGACCTCAGTCTGTGAATTTCATGTGCTTTTATGTGGGTCTACTTTCATTTTTTTATGCTGAGCACTCAGCCTTTAATATCCTTAAGTTCTCTGGTGTTTTCTTGTATTAGGTCATTATTTTTTCCTCTCCATGCCCTCTGCTCTCTTTTCTGAGATTCGTATTTTTTGTTGTTGGACCCCCTGGACTGGTTCTCTAATTTTCTTATCTATTTTCCTACCTTTTTTTTAAAGAGTATTTCTTCCTCTAGCTGCCATTTTGTATCACCATGTGTGTGCACCTAATCTCAGCTGGTTCAGCCAAGATCCCTTGGGCACCAACTCTAGTCCCCCGCACGGACCCTTTTCTGCTCCAACAAGATGAAAGAAACTATCATGAACCAGGAGAAATTTGCCAAACTGCAGGCACAAGTGTGCATTGGTGGGAAAAGAACTGCTTGCAGAGAAGAGGTTCATCAAACAGCTATAGCAGATGATTCAAAAAACCCAAAAAACTCTAGTTCTTAAAGAAGTTAAGGGTAAACAATATCTTTGGTATTGAAGAGGTGAACATGTATACAAACCAAGGAACAGTTATTCATTTTTAACAACCCTAAAAATTCAGGCATCTCTGGCAGTGAACACTTTCACCATTACAGGCCATACTGAGACAAAGCAGCTGGCAGAAATGCTACCTAGCATCTTAAACCAGCTTGGTGCAGTCTGACTAGTTTAAGGAGACTGGCTGAAGCTCTGCCCAAACAATCTGTGGATGGAAAAGCACCACTTGCTACTGCAGATGATGATGATGAAGTTCCAGATCTTGTGGAGAATTTTGATGAGGCTTCCAAGAATGAGGCAAACTGAAGTGAATCAACTTCTGAAGAAGATAAAACTTGAAGAATGGATTGCCTGAGCCCGCAGGTTCGAGACCCACCTGGGCAGCAAGACCTCATCTCTACAATAGATCAAAAAATCAGCCGGGCATGGTAGCACATGCCTGTAATTCCGGCTACTTGGAAGGCTGAGGCAGAAAGATCGCCGGAGCCCAGCAGATTGAGGCTGCGGTGCCCGGGAGCGGCCACTGCATTCCAGTCTGGGCGACAGAGTGAGACTCCAACTCAAAAAAAAAAAAATTGAAGAAGTTACTGGGAGTTGCTATTTTATATTATGACTGCTTTTAAAAATTGTTTTGTTAATGGATCTGATAAAATCTAGATCTCTAATATTTTTAAGCACAAGTTCCTTGGCCACTGCAGCTCATTTCAGTTTTTGCTTATACACAACTCATTCTTTGCAGCAATTAAGTTGAAGAAGCCTGGGAATAAAGTCTGAAACAAAGATTAATAAAGTTCTTTACCTAATAAGAAAAAAAAAGAGTATTTCCTTTATCTTTCAGCCCTTCTAAACAGTTTTCTAGGCTGGGTGTGGTGGCTCATGCCTGTAACCCTAATGCTTTAGGACGTTGAGGCAGGAGGATTACTTGAAGCCAGGAGTTTGAGACCAGCCTGGGGAACATAGTGAGACCTTGTTTCTACCAAAAAAACCAAAACATTAAAAACTAGTCAGAGCCGGGCTCGGTGGCTCAGCCTGTAATCCCGTGCTTTGGGAGGCTGAGGTGAGTGGATTGCCTGAGTCCACGAGTTCGACCCGCCTGGGCAACTTGGCAAGACCTCATCTCTGCAATAAATCAAAAAATTAACCGGGCGTGGTAGCACGTGGCTGTAGTCCCAGCTACCTGGAAGGCTGAGGCAGAAGGATCACCAGAGCCCAGCAGGTCGAGGCTGTGGTGGCCGGGAGTGGCCACTGCACTCCAGTTTGTGTGACAGAGTGAGACTCCAACTCAAAACAAACAAACAAAAAAAAAAAAACTAGTCAATTGTGGTGTTGTGCACCTGTAGTCCCAACTACTCAGAAGGCTCAGGCGGAATGATCATTTGTGCCCAGGAGTTCAAGGCTGTGTTGAGTTATGACCATGCCACTGCGCTCCAGCCTGGGCAATAGAGTAATAATAACCTGTCTCAAAAACAAAATGTTTCTATATTATCATTTTTTATTTGTAAGTACCCCTTTTCTATTCTTTTTTTATTTTATTTTATTTTTTGGGTTGGAGTCTCACTCTGTCGCCCAGGTTGGAGTGCAGTGGCATACTCACGGCCACACCAGCGTTGACCTGCTGGGCTCCAGTGATCCTTCTGCCTCAGCCTTCCAAGTAGCCGAAACTACAGGCGCGTGCCACCATGCACAGCTAATTATTTTATTGTAGAGATGAGGTCTTGCCAAGTTGCTGGGGTCGGTCTCGAACCCGAGGGCTCAGGCTATCTACTCGCCTTGGCCTCCCAAAGTGCTGGGATTACAGTCTGAGCTACCGGGCTCAGACTCTTTTTCATTTTCTCAATAGCACACTGAATGTAATGCCATTTCTTAACTCTCTGAGATAATAAAAGATAGCCATTCTGGAGCACTTGAAACAACTGCATACGTTCTGCTTCCTGAAGTTCCTTTTTTCCTATGTTTTGTTCGCAAACTTTCACGTTAAAAGTTTCTGCCAGGCATGGTGGCTCACACCTATAATCCCAGCACTTTGGGAGGCTGAGGCGGGAGAATCGCTTGAGCCAGGAGTTCAAGAACAGCCTGGACAACAAAATGAGACACTGTCTCTACAAAAAAATAGATAAATTTTCCAGGCATGGTGGCATGTGGCTGTAGTTCCAACTATTTGGGAGGCTGAGGCAAGAAGATGATCACTTAACCCCAGAAGTTTGAGGCTGTAGTGAGCCATGATCTTACCACTGCATTCCAGCCTGGGTAACAGAGTGAGACCCTGTCAAAATAAATAAATAAATAAATATTTTAAAAAGTGTTTCTTAGTAGGAGTCAAGTGTGAACAAGAACTGGGATTTAAGGGCCATACTTTGAAGGTATCCCTGGTCAACTTTCTGCCAGAAATGATGGGAAGATAATGTTGTGGAGTGTGAGCAGTGGAATTCTGGGAAAAAAAAGAAGAATCCTACAAAACATACCCACAGGAAGAAAATTTACAAAGCAGCTTATACCAAGCAGGTGGAAATACTAATGCTTCAGTAATAGATAAGGAAGAACATGGCAACATTTTACCAAAGCTAAGTACTGAATATGGAGAAAAAGTGAACTGGTTCTTAGGTGTAAAAATAAAGGGACAGCAAAATATATTAGCAGCTGACCAGAGTAGTCATATATTTTCCTAAATGAAGTTCAAATCATTTAAGGACAATGAAAACATTTAAATAATAAGCAAAAGGGCAACCCCTTCAGGTCCCTTACCACTGTGGGAGCTTTCCTGTCCTCTCAATAAATCCTGCTTTTAAATAAATAAATAAATTTTTTAAAAGTATTATTTAGAAGTCTGGTGATCCTCGGTTATCTGCTCATATTCAAGAGTGGAGCACCAAAAGGTGATTGGAACTTTTGGGTGAATGGCTGGGGCTTATCTATAGTGGGCTTTATTTTATCTGATAACCCTACTCAGCTGTTTCATTGGTGGAAGCTTTAGCTTTTCCCTCTTAGGCT